CATCTTCCTGAGACTCTGTGGGTACCCAGTAAAAGAATGCCAAGTTCAGAGAAAGAGGTGAAGCTAGACTAGGGCAGAGCCAAGGACTCCCAACCATGGTGGTTGTGGCAATGACTGGCTCCTGAGCCATGAAACAAGCTGAACTGCAGGAATCACTCTCCAGAGCATCTACCCCTCACTTCCTTTCCACAGGAGCTACCACAGTCAGGAGAACTTTGCTCCTCATTCTCACGCCTACAGGAATGACATGGAAAACTCGCCCTGCTCAGGAGGTCTCTCACACCCTCTGTCTTCTCAGTCTTGTCTCTGTTGCATAGCCTTCGGGACTGTTGGCCACAGCAGCTGCACTGTGACCATGACTGGACCTTGGGTCAAGCTTGTACCCAAATGCTTCTCAGGTGTAGGCTTAGCAAATTCTCAGAGCCACTCAGGGCCAGACACAATGTTAACAATCCCACTGCAGTTAGGGATACTCAACCCAAAGACAAATTCCCAGTCCAAGGTTACCCACTGAGAATAAGAATGCACAGACTAGATGGAGGGTTCACAGACCACGACCAGGTGAACAGCAGGAAGACTAGGCTGCTCAGGCCATCCCTGGCACAGGGTTCCTGATATACCAGGGTGGTGACTAGGCTGCCTCTGCATGTAGAATGGATGTGAAAACGACATTGTCAAGAAAACAAGTGACCAGTTGTCTTGAGCAAATAATAAGACCTTGAGGACACAGCCCCCAGCATTTCCAAAGAAGTCTGTGGCTTTGTTGGCTGGGAAACAGTCCCCCTGGATATGCCATTTGGCATGCTTAGCAGGCAAGCCCAGTTGGCAAAAACAAAGATCTGGAACCTCTCAAGAGCCCTGAATGCTCTAGCCTGTTCTATGACAGGGTAGCACCCCTGGAGCCTTTGATGTTCAGGCTGACTGAGCAGCTATTCAGTGTGGGGAAGATATCCTCTAGGAAGTGGGTCCTAACCATTCCAGACTCCAGGGACTGGCACAGGGGAGCATTCTTGCCTCAATTATTCTTTGGGGCTAGTGGGAGTCACTAGCACAGCAGGCCTGGCAGGCATATTACCTAGCCTTATGTAAGTGCTGGAGCTAGCCCTGTCCCTGGGGTCTAGTCTTTTCTATGTCCTTGGGAAGGGGTGGGCACAACCCAAAGAACAGAGTCTCTGGGCCTTTCACATGACCTGTGTCCTTGAAAACTGGGTGGGCACTAACTGGCTGGGAACTCTGGGAAAAGAGTCTGACAATGGGGCCTAGGTGGTCCCAGTATGGCACCCCAACTTAATGTTCCTTAGAGGAGAAGTCAGGGGTATCTCTAGGGATCCACCAGCAGGTTGGGAAAATGTCCAGTGGGTGACAGGAGAAAATTGAGAGAATAAACGTGAGTATCTATAATTAGGTACAAATAAACAACCTTACTCCTGGGACAGAGACTATTTATGGAGGAAAACAAATGGCATGTGGCCACCCACCCATGGGACCTCTTGGCCTTCACCTTAAGGTCAAGGGAGCCAATGTGTGATGCGGCTGCCAAAAACGTGTGAGAGCGCGCACCACTGTCTCCTTGTGGCCCTCCATGTCAAGGAAAGGTGACCAAAGCCTAGGATAAGGAGGTAAGGACAGGCAAGGCTGGTTTATTTAGCACAGAGATATGAGGGTAGGGTGAGGCTCCAGACGCTATCCTTCCCAAGTTTCTGGAGGTGGCAAAGAGAGCCATAGAGTAACAAGATCAGTCCTTGTCAACACTTCTAGCACAACTGTAGATTTTTTTGTTTTGTTTTGTTTTTCTTGAGACAGGCTCTCACTATATGTAACATAGGCTGGCCTTGGCCTCACCTTCTTGCCACTGAATATGAAATGCTTCTCCAACGATGACCCTTGTTATGATGGTTGGCGGGCCCTAGGCCTGAGCTTCTGAAAGCTGTGCGTCTCAGAAGGCACTGGCAGGTGCAGTGTATTCACATTCTGGGGGATCTGCCACATGCAGGCAAGTGATGTGATTGATGATAGTAGTTTGCCTGCCGCTAGCTCTCTTCCCTTTTAATCCCCCAGCACTCCCTTTTCTAATTTAATAGCTTGAAAATCTTAATGAAAAGGATAAATGTTAAAGGGTCCTCAGATGAGATGTAAAAAATGGAGAAGAGACCTAGGGTGAGCACTGGTGGGATGCTGACCTTGGGGGTTAAGCAGCTACTATGACTAACTGAAGAAGGCACCTGCCAGACCAGGAAAGGAGGCCAGTGGGGGAGGGCAACAGGGCAGGCAGGTACTCCCCCCATGCCAGCTACTGTAGGAGCTGATTGGCGTTTCCAGGAAGTGAGCTCTGGAGACAAGTACCAGGAATGGCAATGGGAGCTCCATCGCCCCTGACCTAGTAACTGCACTTCTGGGAATGCACATCAAGGAAACAGCCCACAGGGCAAAGAGAGGACTTGGGCACACATTCAATGCCAGGCTATTTATAACAGCAAAAAGTCGCAAACAAGCAGGGAATGACCACAGATGCTGAATGTGTTGAATTGAAGGAAAAAGATACCCTGCCCTGCCTGAAGCTTCCTCAGGGTGGGCTGAGTGGGGACAGGTCCCTGCCACAGCAGGTCTTGAGTCTGTTCCACCTGCCATCAGAGAGCCCTTCAAATCTCTGGTCTCCAAAATCCTTCCAAATCGTCCTCTGCCTCTGGAATAATACCTGGAGCCTAATCTGCTAATCAGTCTCACATCTGGATATATAGCCCACTATCAGCCCATGGTGCTATGTGGTAACTCTGTCTCTGCCTAGAAGCCTTTTGCTTTTGCATAGAAGCTACATGGCTATCACAGCTACCTCCACAATCCCAAGAAGCCAAGGCTGGCTTTGAGCACCAGGACATACTCCCAGAAAAGCAACAGTGTGTCCCTTGTGTACCCAGGAGTTAGCTCTCAAAACCAGCCACTGTTAGGTGGGGAGTCCAGCATGAATAGTACAGGGCCAAAAAGCCCACCTTGGCATAGAAGGAGTTACAATGACCGAGATCCCTAAATATGCTCACCAGAGAAATGAGGGACCCCAGTGACATGGGGGATGCTCACCAGGTAGGAAAACTCTTCCTGCTGGTAGGATACGTATGTCTTGAAGGGAGGTCTGACACCTGTTTGCTCCAGATCTAAGTTGCAAGCCTTGCCCCAAAACTCACACCCTAAGTGGCAAAAATCCATAAACTGTCCTGAGCCCAATCCTGCTCCACCCTTAGGTTCCTCTCTGAACTTCAGTTTCCCTTCTGTTTTGAGAACAGGCTATGGCTATGTAACCTAGGTTAGCTTTAAAAATTTTTTTGAGATAGGGTCTCACTTGCCACCCCCTACCACTCCCCCACTTCCTAGAACTCTCTATGTAGACCAGGCTTGCTTGCCTTAAACTCAAAGCTCTGTTTGCTTCGGCTTCCTCCTAAGTGCTAGAATTAAAGGTGTGTGCAATCTCAACTAGCCAAATTACATTATTTATTCTGTGTGCATGTATGTGTGTAGGCTCATATGACATGGAGTACACATGGAGGCAGAGGACAACTCGCAGACTCTTCCACCATGTAGGCCCTAAGACTGAATTCAAGTTATCAGACTTGGCAGCATACATCGATACCTGCTGAGCTACCTCACCAGCCTCAGGATGGCTTTGAAATAGAAAAAGATTCTCCTGCCTCCAACTCTGAATACTGGGATTCTAGGTGTGCACCCCTACAGGCCTGTTTCTTGGATAATATGGGCTGTATAAACTCATAAAGAGGATTAAAAGAGATCATTATTATAAAGTCTCTGAATAGTGTACAAACTGGGTCAATGCCATCCACGTGTGTTTTTTCTTTGAGAAAGGGTTCCAGTATTCAAGGCTGGCCTCTGCATTTTTTTTTTTTTGTTTTGTTTTGTTTTTTCGAGACAGGGTTTCTCTGTGTAGATTTGCGTTTCCTGGATCTCGATCTGTAGACCAGGCTGGCCTCGAACTCATAAAGATCTGCCTGCCTCTGCCTCCCAAGTGCTGGGATTAAAGGCGTGCGCCACCACCGCCCGGCAGGCCTCTGCACTTTTGATCTTCCTACCTCTGCCTCCTTGGGAGGTCTGCACCTTCACACAAGGTTTATGCAGTGTGGCGATAAATCCCAGGGCTTTGTGGATGCTACTGCTAGGCAAGCTCTCAACCAATAGAACTATATCTCCATCACTTACCCAGAGTTTGAACTAGTGCTGCACACACAGGAACCGTCCCACCCAATTCCAAGGCACCACAATTTAGGGCTCCAGCACATGACCCAGGCTCTACCCCAAGATAGGCCCCGCCCCTACCAGTCCAGGCCCAGCCCTAGAAGACTCACACCAATCAGGCTTCCTGGGCACGCCCACAATGTTCCCTAACTGCCCTAACCCCATCTATAACCCTGCTTTCAACGCAGCCCGCCGACCAAACCCAGGGAAGCCCCGCCCCTCAGAAGCCCCGCCCCAACGGCCTCTCCTACCACTCCGGGCCCCACCCCCTCAAGGCCTCGGGCCCGCCCCGGTGCATCCGGGGTCCATAGGCCTCTCTGAGCCTCCCTCTTTTCACCGCTGCGCACTATGGCCTGAAACCTAGCGAGCTCGGCTTGTCGCGGCTTTCTCCAACTCCCTACCCGGGGACAGGCCTCGTTGAAGCCCCGGGCTCCACCCTGAGCCCTCTCGTCCCCTAGCGGGGCCTCGACCCTCCGGTCGCTACAGCGCCCTTGCACGTCTGTAGTCCACCGGGCGCACCTTTGAATAGGTAGTCGTACTCGTCGTCCCGGGTCCCCATTGTCCTGGCGCTTCCGGCGGGATCGGCGACTCCGCAGCCCCACCACAAACACCCGACGGGGGCGGAACCGGCGCCGCGCAGAGCGGCGGTCCGACGGCCAGTCAACGGTGAAAGCGGTAGTGACAGGCATCCGGGCAAACCAATCAGACTTAGGAGCCGAGTTTAAGGGGGTGGGAGCCTCCTGGGATCCACCCTTCTAGCCCTCGGTCTCCAGGAGAAAGGCGGAAGGAATGCGGACCTTTTCGAAGTGACAGACTCAGCAGCCTATCAGAAGCCGAAGGAGGAAGGCGGGGCGGAAGACTTGAACAATGAAGTGGATTGACGGAGTGAGTAACCAATGAGGGACTGGATTCAGACTCGGCTTTCCAGTGGACCTGTCCGGGAAGGGAAATTGAGCTACCTCCAGGTGATGTTAAGGATTTTAACGTCCTGATGACATCACAGGTCAGTGAGTCTGCTCTGGCCTCTTACTCTAGCCCCATAAATGACCATTTCCGGGTGTATGTGCGTGGTTAGGGGAACCTTCTCTGGGTTGCAGTTCCCCAGTTCTTTGTTTAAACCTAAAGGTTATGTTAGTACCTCCAAAACAAATGGGGATCCTAGACCTTTATTTGTTCCTCTTCTCAACAAATTGATTAAGTCTCTTGTTTTCTGCTTTTCACCATGTTATGCCCAGATCACGACCCCAAAGAGACCACTGAAGACCGTGGATGTCCAGAATGCAACAGCAAGGTTTATTCTGTAGATACAAGGCTAGACAGGGAACTCATTCCTACACCCAATACAGTGAGGCAGGGAGGAGTTGCTCTTTCTTTGTGAGGCTAGCTTTTTTAAAGGCAAAAACCACAAGCCCTTCAGGGTAGTGGGGGGGGGGGGGGGATTGCACGGGTGCAACTCGGATTGGTTTATTTTTATCTCTGTTCTCTTTTAATTGGGTGAGTGTATGTAACCTTTGAATTTACTGGTTGGGGTTTACAATTATCCAATTATCATTTTGGGGGCAGTCTAGCACAAGTCCCAGGCTTTGTCCTTGAGCTGCCATGGGGGCTGGCTGGCCTAGCACGTACTGACTGTGGGGGCTGGCTTAGTGGTCTAGGCTCTGTCCTTGACTCATGCACATAACTCTTAAGTTGGTGAGGGGTCCCAGACAGTAAACATCTGGCTGAACTTTGAGCAGTCAGAGTACGTGCAGAAAGGGATCTACTGCAAGGACTATGTCTTTTGTTCACAGCCCTCCCAGAGACTGCTTGCTCAGTCTCAGGAAACTGAAATTGAGGCCTGATCTCTGAGAGAAGACTGAGCAGCCTGTTATGGCATCTGCTTGGTCCTTTCAACCATTACTCATGTTTTTTTCTTTTCTTTTTAAAGACAGGTTCTCACTATGTAACCTTGGCTGGACTGGAATTAATAATGTGGATCAGATGACCCGTCTGGCTTTCTTTTTTTTTTTTTTTTTTTTTTTTTTTTGGTTTTTGGAGACAGGGTTTCTCTGTGAAGCTTTGCGCCTTTCCTGGAACTCACTTGGTAGCCCAGGCTGGCCTCGAACTCACAGAGATAAGCCTGGCTCTGCCTCCCTAGTGTTGGGATTAAAGGCGTGTGCCACCACCGGCCCGGCCTGGCTTTCTTTTTTTGAGACAAGGCCTAATGTTACTCTGGCTTCAAACTTACTATGTATTTATCGATTACTTTGAACTTTTTCTTTTTTTTCTGTTTTATTTGGAGCACAGGGCCTCATTGTAGCTCCAGCTTGCCTGGAACTTGCTGTTTAGAACTCAGAGATCTACCTACCTCTGCCCCCCCAACCCCCCTACACACTGGTATTAAAAGACATTTGTTACCACACTCTGGCCAACTTTGAACTTCTGATCCTCTTGTACACTAGTAACTTAGAAGTTACCTCTCTGATCTCATTTTCTTCCTCTGCACATGTATTCCTAAGATTATGTGGATTGTTTCCTTAAACACATACATACACAATTAACAGTCTACTTTGTGCCATGAAGTCTTTGTTTAAAAGCTATTCAGAGGCTGGGAATAATAGTATGGGAAAGGAATGCAGCTTAATTATATTTATTTTCCATGTATGTGTGTTTTGTTTGATTGTTGTGCACTATATGCATGCAGTGCCTGTAGAGGCCAGGAATGATATTAGATCCCCTGAGACTGGAGTTACAGACAGTTGTGAGCCACCATGTGAGTGCTGGGAATCAAACCTGGATCTTGCTTAAGAGGAGCCAGTGATCTTAACCATTGAGCCATCTCTTCAGCCCACAGCTAAATTGATTAGAATGCATAGGCTTAGTTTCAATCCCTAGCACTAAAGTGAGGGAAAAAATTCTTAGTGGCACTATAACAAATGTTTAAAAACTGCTTTGGGACTGAAAATGCTCAAGCAATAGAGTGCTTGCCTAATACGCACAAGCACCTGGCACATAAACTGAGTGTGGTGGCACATGCCACTAGAACTGGAGAGCTGTAAGCAGGAGAGTCAGGAGTTCAAGGTCATCCTACCCAAAAGGTAGTTTGGGGTCCTTACTCAAAACAGAAACAAAAACAACCAAACAAACAAAAAACCAGGGCCTAGAGAGATGACTCATCCATTAAGATCACTTCCTGCTCTTGCAGAGAACCCAGGTTTGATTCTCAGCACCAGCATATCAATTTACAACCATCTGTAACTCCAGTTCCAGGGGATCTGATGCCTTCTTCTTTCTGCCTTGGGGTCCTGTATTCATGTAGTACACATAAACTCCCAAGTACAGACACATTCACATTTTATGGTTGCACACAACTTTAATCACAGCACTTCGGAGGAAAAGGCAGGCAGGCAGGCAGATCTCTGTGAGTTCAAAGCCAGCCTGGTTCACAAAGCAAATTCCAGGACACCCAGGGCTGTTACGCAGAGAAACTCTGTCGAAAAGAAAAGAAAAGAAAAGAAAAAAAGACCCGTGAGAGAAATAAAAAAAAAAAAAAACATAGAAAGAAAGAAAGAAAAAAATCCAACAAACTAACAAACAACACTCTTTTGTTAAGATATGCTAACTCCTCACTTAGGCCCTCAGAATAATAAAGGGAAAGACAAAGGCCTGATATCTCTGTCTTCATTTTGTGTCTGTCTCCTTTGCTTTGGATAAAGACTCCTCTTTGCCTGCAAAGACATGTTAATCACTCAGGAGTGTCTTGTCTATCTTATGATTCTGAAAGCACAAAGTGAGGTTAATGACTTAATATCTATAATCACCTTGGATTCCAAGAAACACAAAGCCTTCCATTACTTTCCACCTCTAGATAAGGGCAAGTATCTATGATGAGAGCAAGGCTGCACCCCAGAGCAGAAGTGATGTCTTTAGCTGGTGACCAATCCCTCAAGCAAGATGGTGATAACTTCTTTGGACGACCTTGAAGAACCAGAGCAGAGATAATGATCGATGAGATTGCTATTTGACTTTTACTACTTTCTTTCTTCTTATGTGTATGTGGTATATGTATGTGCATGTTCATATGTGGAGGTGGTTTTGTGTGTGTATGTGTAAACAAGCTTATGGAGGTCAAAGGTTGATGTCAGGTGTCTTCCTCAATAGCTACCACCTCAGTTTTGAACACTGAACCTGAATCTCACTGATTTGGCTGGATTAGCTGTCCAGCAGGCTCCTGAGATCCATCTGTCTTTGACCCTTAAAGCTGAGAGTGCTAGTGCACCGTCCCACACCTGTCTTTGTATGGTTGCATCTCCCCATCCCTAATTATACATACTCCTTGACCCAATTCTGTAAATAATCTAAAGCTGATATCAGTACCTCAAAGTTAAGTGGGATCATGATAGTCCTTTATTTATTCCTTTCCCCACCATATTAATTTAATCTCTTTTCTCTACTTCTCATCATTTTTCATGTTTCTTTTTTTAAGGTTTTTTAGAGACAGTCTCTCTGTGTAGTCTTACTTGTTCTGGAACTCACTATATAGACTAGGCTAGTCTTGAACTCACAGAGTTCTGCCTGCCCCTGCCCCAGTAGTGCTGAGATCAAAGATGTGTGCCCCTATGATGGTTTGAATAGGTATAGCACCTATAGACAGACTCATGTATTTGAGTGCTTGGCCCATAGGGAGTGGTACTATTAGGAGATATGGCCTTGTTGGAGTAGGTATGACCTTGTTGGAGAAAGTGTGTCACTGTGGAGCTGGGCTTTGAGGTCTCATATATGCTCAAGCTATGCCCAGTGTGGCACACAGTTCACTTTCTGTTTTGTAGTGATATATTGTGTCCCCCAATATATTGTGCATCCTAATAAACTTAACTGGGGTCAGAGGACAGAACAGCCACTAGATAGACATAGAGGCCAGAAAATGGTGGCACACATGCCTTTAATCCTATCACTTGGGAGGCAGAGATCCATCCGGATCTCTGTGAATTCAAAGCCATACTGGAAACAGCTAGGCATGGTGACTCATGCCTTTAATCCCAGGAAATGATGGCAGAAAGCAGAAAGGTATATAAGGTGTGAGGAGCAGGAACTAGAGCTGGTTAAGCTTGTAGACTTTTAGCAGCAGTTCAGCTGAGATTCATTCTGGTTGAGGACTCAGAGGCTTCCAGTCTGAGGAAACAGGATCAGCTGAGGAATTGGCAAGGTGAGGTAGCTGTGGCTTGTTCTGCCTCTCTGATCTTCCAGCATTCACCCCAGTAACTGCTCTGGGTTTGTTTTTATTAATAAGACCTTCTAACAATACGTGCTACACTATTGTCTTTGAATCAAGATGTAGAACTCTCAGCTCCTTCTCTAGCACCATGTCTGCCTACATGCTGTCATGTCCCACCATGATGATAATGGACTAAAACTCTGAAACTGTAAGCCAGCTCCAGTGAAATGTTTTCTTTTATAAGAGTTGTCATGGTCATGGTGTCTCTTCATGGAAATAGAGACCCTAAGACAGCCCCCATACCCAGCTAAAGCATATATTAATGCCATGGGGTAATAAAATCTAGGGAATTAAAACAGGGTAAGAGGGAAATGTTACATTGGAAACTGGTGCTGTAACTAGAGTTTGGGGAAAACCCAGGCTCTTGTAGCCCAATAGGTAAGGTTAGCTTACTTGGCCCAATATGCCAATTAAAGAGAATGGTGAGAAGAATGCTTGCTTAACAAGAACCAAACCCTGGATATCATCACCAGAAATTTTATATATATGTCAGGTATGTCTGTAACCCCAACCTTTAGTAGGTAGAGGTGGGAGGGTCAGAAGTTCAAGCTCATCTATATATAGCAAGTATATAGTATATAGCAAGCTCAAGGCCAATAGGAGCTTCATGGGAACCTTTCAAAAGAAAGATGAGTCAGGAAGATCTCTGTAAGTGCAAGGCCCACTTGGTCTACGCATCCAGTTCCAGGACTACATGGACTCTGTCTCAAAAGAGTGTGTGTGTGTATTTTTACTTTGTATTTTTCTTTTAATGTACAAAATGGTATTTTGGTATACAAGTGCATCTATTACCTTCTGTGATTAACTTTTCATGTGTATTTGACATCTACTCTCAGGAAAGCTGTGGCCCACATTGCAAATGAATTGCTGTCTTTCTCAATGTTATTAACCACAAAACATGCATCAATTTCTTGATCCATTTAGTTTCTTGTTTTGTTTCTCTTTCTAGTGTAGAGGACCAAACCTATGATCTATAGGCAAGTGCTTGGCCACTGAGGCCGCCCCCACCAGCCCTCACTTAAGTTTCTGTAGCGTTAGCAGAATATCCGTCCCAAGAGGGCGGGGATTGTGTACACATCATTGCTGTACTCTTGTGCTGAACATCTGTTGAGTGAAGAATAACATAACAGAGCCCAGGTGGTAGTTACATAACACTTGTTTCTGTTGTTCTGTTCTTGGTTCTGGGGACCTGACTCAGCAGTCACTGTATCAACTGAGCCATCTCCCCAGCCCCTTGCTTAGGTTTATGTTTGCTCATTTGTTTTTGTTGGTTGTTATTTTCTGGTTTGAGGGGGCAGTATTGCTGTTAGGATATTTTAAATTCATTATGTGACAATTTCATGCATGCATCTAATGTATCTTAACCACAGCCACTTGCAACTTTATTTGTCTAGAATTGTCTCTATCAGGCTAGCCTATGGCTGTGTCTGTGGACATTTTCTTGATTGCTAAATAAAATAAGAGAGCTTAGCATGCTTCAGTTAGTATTATCCCTAAGCAGGTGGGCCTTAGAAACACAGTTGTACATGAGCCTAGAAACACCTCCCAACATGCTCCTCTTCCAAATTCTTGTCATTATCACTCACTCATTTATTCTTTTTTGTTGCAGTGACCCATTGAGTCCTGTTTGATTTTGGTTTTGATACAGGGTTTCATATATCCCAGGCTTACCTGAAACTCTAATGTAGCCATTGAGCTACTGATTCTCCAGCTTCTACCTTCTGAGTGTTGAGTTTCCAGGCATGTGTCTCTATACCCAGTTTTATACAGTGCTGAAGAACAAATTCCAGATTTGGTTCATCCCAGGCAAGCACCCTATCACTTGAGCTAAAATTCCAGCCCTATTGTAGCCATTACTTTTTATATTATTTTATTATTTTCTTACATTTATTTCATTATTCTTTAAGAATTTCATTCATACATCATTCCCACCCAACACTTTCATCCCTCTAATTCCTCTTTTATTGTTATTTAATTGTATGTGTGTGTACACCACATATATAACAGTGCCTGCCTGCAGAGACCAAAAGAAGGTATCATATTCCCTGGAGTTGGAGTTTACAGATGATTGTGAGCTGCCCAAGTGCAGTAGGTGCTCTTAACCACTGAGCCATCTCTCCAGCCCCTACTAGAGCAATTCTTATTAACACTTGGATGTCATCCTTGAGGTGTCTATCAGGCATTCCAGACACAAATATGAGCTTTGTTCATATCCATCCTTCCTCCACCCTCTCAATGACAGAGGTCAAGTACTTCTCTGTCTACAGCTGTTCTTTTCTACCTGTCATCCTTAAATGCCTTATTCTGTCCCTTATCCTTTTTTCTCAGCTAATTTTGGTTATTAACTTTATATATCTGAGAAGACTGAGCTGCAGTTAAGGAATTGTCTCTATCAGGCTAGCCTATGGCTGTGTCTGTGGACATTTTCTTGATTGCTAAATAAAATAAGAGAGCTTAGCATGCTTCAGTTAGTATTATCCCTAAGCAGGTGGGCCTTAGAAACACAGTTGTACATGAGCCTAGAAACAAGCCACTAAGCAGTGTTCCTCTGTGGTCTGTGCTTCAGTTCCTTCTTCCAGGTTCCTGTCTTGAGTTCCTGCCTTGGCTTTCCTTGGTAATTGTGGACTGTAACATGTAAGCCAAATAAACCCTTTTCTTCCCTGATTGCTTTTGCTCAGCATTTTATCACAGCAACAGAGAAACAAACTAGAATGTTGGGAGCTGTGCGGCCTAGTTTTAGACCAGCATATAAGTGCTTGTCCAAGTCTCCAGATGAGGCAAAGCCTATGGCAACAGTCTCACTCAGCAAGGACCATTGGACTTCAGGACAGCACAGAATGCTGCTGGGGCTATGAAACCTGCACACTCTCTTCTCTCTCATAATATTGATGATTCTCTTGGTGGTTTTTAGTGTCACTTTGTCAGTCATGCATGGGACAGATGTGATCATTCCTGGAAACCCAATTTTTTCTCAAATATTTCCCCCTAAAATTCTTTGGGAGCTGATGCTTCTCAGGTTTCTTGACTGGAGATGCTGTCACTCCAGACTCCGGGAACTGTCCTGATTCAGTGCTGAGAGAATCGGAGGCAATTTACCCCTATTTCGGTAAATATGCTTTGTTAAGTTTTGAACGATATTGTTGTTCTTGAAAGATATTGTTGTTCTTGAAAATGTGTTCCCATGTTTATCACCTTTTAGTTTTGTAAAGACAAGATGTACCTGGTTTGATATTTGGCCAAGCTAGCAAAACAATAAATGTTGTTTTGGGTTTAAAAGATGTTTTGATGTAAAAGTTGGGGAAAAAGAAACATATTTGACATATTTGTTTTTGTCAGAGGTTAATATTGGAGGATGGGGAAAAAACTTATTTGTTAGTAGGGAAAAACATGCTTGTTTGGATGTATAAATAAAGACTGCTGGAGCTATTCAGAGCCCAGCACTTGTGTGAAACTCAGCTGGTGGTTGGATAGTTCTTTTCTTTGCGCCGACCCACCTACCCCGCTTCCCCATCTCAGGACCTGAACCCAGGCTGTGGCAGTGGGACCTCGCCACTAGGATATGCTGGTTCTGATTGCTTCTCATCCACTTCATGCTATCATTTAGTCATGACCCCATCACTAGACTAAGCAGTTCCTTCCTTTCTGCTCTCCCTCCTTTGCCCTCATCACTCACAGTACACTGTTTTTCCTAAGGCCACTGGAAAGAGTATTTATTTAGTATCTCTAGTAGCCCTCGTTGACCTTGAACTCACAATGTAGCAGGGGATGACATTAAACGGATCTTCCTGCTTCCTCTTTCCAAGTGCTAAGGATGACAGGCACATGTCTCTTCTGGATCAGAGGTAGTTTTAAAAACAAGTCAGATCATATTAATCCTTGGGTTGAAATTAGGGAGTTGAAGACAAGAAAAGCCTTTTAATCCATCCTTTAATAAACACTTAAGGGCATACTACATGTTGGCAATACAGTATTGAAAAAGACAGAGTCAGTAATCTCATGGGGAGGTAGGATCTTGTGGTGGTGCATGTCAATAATCCCACCATTCTGGAAGCTGAGGCAGGAGGATCAAAGGAAACTTGAGACCATGGCCAGTTCTAGGCCAGACAAGTCTACATTATCAGATCTTGTTGCAAACATCTAGGTATGGTAATACACATCTATAATCCCAGCACTTCAGAGGCAGAGGCCAAAGGATATCCAGTTCAAAGTCATCCTTGGTTAAATTGTAAGTTTGGAGCCAACCTGGGCTCTACAAGACAATGTCTCAAACAATAGTAAACAGCCAAAAATAATGAACAGGACTAGCAAGATGGCTCAGTGGGTAGAGTGCTTGCCTCTGATGTTTTGAATAATTTGATCACTGGAGCCTAAGTAAAGGTGGAAAGAAAGAACTGAATCCAGAAAGTTGTCCTCTGACCTCCATGCAAACTATTGCATGTGCCACCTACCAAACAACCCTATAGAGAATAAACTAAAACAAAACAAAACAAAACAAAACACCAAAAACCAAACCAAAACAAAAAACCACTGAAACCAATAAGCCACTAATGCCATCTTAAGTCCACTGCCTTGAGTTCATCTAATCCAACACTGTTAACATATGACTTTGGAGGTTAAATTCTAACACCTTGGATTTTGTTTTGTTTTTATTTTTGTTGTGAAATAGGCTATTCTTGTACTTCTGATCCTCCTGCCTCTTCCAACATAGCTGTAACTAGAGTTTGAAGCAAAAGGCACTGCTCCTGAAGTTTCAACCAGCCAGGCTCAAGCCATCCTAATACACCAATTAAAGAGGCTAATAATGGCCAGGCGGTGGTGGCGCACGCCTTTAATCCCAGCACTTGGGAGGCAGAGCCAGGCGGATCTCTGTGAGTTCGAGGCCAGCCTGGACTACCAAGTGAGTTCCAGGAAAGGCGCAAAGCTACACAGAGAAACCCTGTCTCAAAAAACCGGAAAAAAAAAAAAAGAGGCTAATAATGATGTCAAGCAGAGAAAGGATGCTTAATCAGTGCCCACAGAGAGAGGGAAACTCAAAAGGGACCCAGTGACCACAAGTTCCTCTTTAGGGAATTGATGTGACCTTTTGGCTTCAGATAGAGGAAGGGCAAGATGTGTGTATAATCAAGTAGTTTTGGTCTAGAAATGGTCCCAGCTTCTCCTCTCTAGTGGCTGATAAGATGTCAATCTGTTAAACTATAAACTACTATTTGTATCTGTTAGCATCATCACCAACCAATGCAGGGGACCAATCTGGTTTCCTACAGGATGATCTACTCCAGAGTGCAGCCTCCCCAACAAAGATAACTGCTGTCATTTTTGGGATCCTCTGTCCTGTGAAGATCTAATCTACCTGGAATTCAAGGTAACTGAAGGTTGTGAGCCGAAATTCCCAGGAAAACACTACACCTGTGTTAAAGATTCTATGCTGTCAAGTGACTGACTACAACTTAGTAATTGCAGACAGTTTGAAATGTTGCAAGTCCAGCCAAGTGTAGTGGGGCACATCTTTAAATCCAGCAATGGAGAGGCAGGGCCAGGCAGATCTTTGAGTTCAAGGCTAGTCTGGTCTTCAGAGTATGTTCTGGGATAGCCAGGGCTAAGAAAAATCATCTCAACACACACACACACACACACACACACACACACACACACACACACACACACACGAAATATTTCAGGTCAATTGCCAAATTATCCATCTTTAGCCCTCTTTAAATTTTTTTTAAAAAATCTTATGAGTATGAATGTTTTGCCTGTGTGTGTGTGTGTGTGTGTGTGTGTGTGTGTGTGTGTGTGTGTGTGTGTACCATGGGCTTATGGTGCCACAGAGGCCAGAAAAAGGAATTAGAACCCCTGAAACTGCAGTTACAGATGGCTGTGAGCCACTGTGTGGATGTTGAGAACTGAATCCAGATACTATGCAACAGCAGCAAATGTTCTTAATCACTGAGCTCTCTCTCTGGCCATTCTTCAGCCCTCTAGCCTCACAATAGCCACTTGTGGGCTGGTAAGATGGCTCATCAAGTAAAGGTAATGTTCCACAGTGCCTGTAGAATAGACTTTTAAAAAAAGATTTTTATTGGCCAAGTGTAATGGTACTTGCCTCTAGAGGCAGAAGGATCTCTGTAAGTTTGAGGCCAACCTGGTGTACATAGTGAGTTCCAGGACAGCCAGGACTATGTAGAAAGACCCTGTCTTAACAATAATAACAACAAAATGTCTACTTTATGGGGTATAATGGCTATTCTTGGTCTTCAACTTGACTCTATTTGTAATGAACTATAATATAGATCTTGAGGCTGGAAGGCACACCTTTAATCTGGGCCACACCTTCTACTGGGAAACCTATATAAGGACAATGAAAGAAGAGTGTTTTGTTTGTTTGTTTGTTTGTTTGCCAGCTTGCCCTCACATTTCCAGCAAATGCAGAAGACCAGTTGGGACACCCAGCCTTGTAGGATGGAGCAGCTACTGGATTCTTGGACTTTCCATGCATAACTAGCCATTGTTGGACTGCAGCCTATAAGTCATTCCAATAAATAGTGAGTTCCAGGACAGCCAGGGGTACACAGGGATACCCTGTCTTGGGGGAAAAAAAAAACTCTATACATTTCCTACCTCAGTGTCTTTTGGTATGTATCAGTGAGTCACTAGCTTCTACAGACCCCAAAGCCAAGGATGCCATCAGATAGTATTAAAATGCTGTAATAGTTGTAGTGAGGGCTAATGATATTCTGCTGTACTCATAGATTGGTCCCTACCCTGGTTGTCACCAGAGAGACTTCATCAAGCAACTGATGGAAACAGATACAGAGACCCTCAGCCAAACACTAGGCCGAGCCTGGGGTGTCTTGCTGAAGAAAGGGAGCAAGGATTATAGGAGCCAGGGGGATCAAGGACATTACAAGAAAACCCACAGAATCAACTAACCTGGGCTCATAGGAGCTCACAGAAACTGAATCGACAACCAGGGATTGACCTAGGCCCTCTGCATATATGGGACAGTTGTGTAGCTTGGTCTTCATGTGGGACTCTTAACAGTGGGAGCAGGGACTATCTCGGACTCTTTTACTGGCTTTTGGGACCCTACTCCTCATAATGGGTCACCTTGCCCAGCCTTAATACAGGGGGAGGTGCTTAGTTTTACTACAACTTCATATTCCATGTTTTGTTAATATTCATGGCAGACCTTCCCTTTTATGAACAGAAATGGAGGAGTGGATGGGGGGGTAGCAGAAGGAAGGTGGAGAGGAGTGGGAGGAGAGGAGGAAGGGGAAACTGTAGTCAGGATGTAAAATAAATAAAATTTAAAAATACTGTAACAAGCTGGGTAGTGGTGGCTTTAATCCCAGCACTCAGGAGGCAGAGGCAGGGAGATCTCTGAGTTCAAGGTCTACAGAGCAAGTTCCAGGACATCCAGGGCTGCACAGAGAAACCTTGTCTCAAAAATATTGCATTTATGTATTTGTTAATATGTGTGAGTGTTTGCCTGCACATGGAGGCCAGAGGACAACTTGTGAGAGTCAGTTCTGCCTTTCCACCATGAGAGGGTCTTGTGGCTCAAACTCAGGTCATCAGGGTGGGTAGTAAGTGCCTTTACTGCCTAAGCCATTTTGCTGGGGCAACAAAAGCAGTTTCTAAGTGCCTATTACATCATGAGCTTTGTAGGAACATATTCAAACCTTAGCAGTGAGGGCTGGGGGCATGGTTCCATTGTTTGAATGCTTGCCTAACATGCACAACACCCTGGGTTCCATCCCTAGCACTGCATAACTTGACTGTACATAAACTCGGCATGATGGTGCATGCCTGTCATCCCAGCGCTCAGGAGGTAGAAGCAGGAGGATCAGGAGTTCAAGGCCATCCTTGGCTACAGAGCAAGTTTGAGAACAATCTGGATACTTGAGATCCTGTCTCAAAAATAACAACACCTGTGGTGGTATTTTACTTGTACTGAAATGTGATTTTAATTGTATGTTAATAAATAAAGTTGCCTGGGGGTCAGAGCTATTAGAGCCATAGCAAGTGCGTGGCGGCGGCGGTGGTGCACGCCTTTAAGGACGTGGAGGGCGGTACATACAGGCAGTGACCAGGCAGTCACATGTTTGGGTTTACAACCAATGAGAAGGCAGAACAGAAAGACTATAAAGACAGACACACAGGAAGTAGGTCTTTTTTTTCAGAGAGCTCTCTTGGCTGAAGAGGATCCCTAAATCAGGAAGGGTGAGGCTCTTAGCTCTGACCTCTTGGCTTTCTTCTCTGAATTGGCTCTGTGTTTCTTATTTAATAAGACCGTTGGTTACATCTACAGACACCCTGTTACATAAAATAAGATAAGGCAGGTGGTGGTGGTGGTGGCAGCTAGGGAAATGATCTAGGTACTAAAATACTTGCAGTGCAAGCAAGCATGAGGATCTGAGTCTAAATTCCAGCATTCCAGTTAAAAAGCTGAGGTGGCAGCACCCATCACTGGGGAAGAGCAGGGTCTCTAGGACCTACTGGCCAGCCAGTCTGGCCTAATCCATGAGCTCCTGGTTCAATGAAACACCCTGCCTGGAAAATTAAATCAAAACATAATCAAAGACACCACTATTGACCTTTAGCCTCCACATGTGCAAATGTGTACCTACCCACCCACACAAATGCACACATACACACACACGGAACTACATTTTGAAAAAGTCAGCTGCCCCATCAGTTTTGGGTTATGGAACCAACTGCTGCCTTATGCATGTCAGATAGGTGCTGTGCTCTACCACTAAGATACAGCCCCAACCTATAGTTTTGGTGGTTTGTTGTTGTTTTCATTTGGTTTTTGTTTTTTGAAATAGGGTCCCACTGTATCTCAGGATGGCCTGAAACTCACTGTGTAGTTGAGGCTGGCTTCAAACTTGTGATTCTGCTGCCTCAACCTCCCAAGTAGCGGACTTATAGATGTGTGTTGCCACATCTGTATTGTGTGTGTTGGGCAGGTGCTCTGCCCTGAACTAATTTCCTTCCCTTCAGAATGTCAGAATGGTGCTTTTTTTTTCTTTTGGATTTGTATGTGTATGTACGTGCAATAATCTTTTAATTATTTTTCATGTGTATGAGTGTTTTGTCTGCATGCAGTGCCTATGAAGGCTAGAAGAGGAGGTCATATGCCCTAGAGGGTTATGAACAGTTGTGAGTCATCATGTGGGTGCTGGAATCTAACCAGATGCCTCTGAAGAGCAGCTAGTGCTCTTAACCCTGAGCCATCTCTGCAGCCCTGGCCTTGAACTCTTGATCTTCATGCCTTCACATTCCAAACACTGCCCTTTCAGGAATACCATGTTTTGGTATATGTAGTTCTTGGAATGGAACCCAGGGCTTTGTGCATGATATGCAAACACTCTACCAGTCCTTTTGTCTTCTTTTTGAGATAGAGTCTCATGTGGCTCAGACTGGCCTCCACCTCACTAGGCATTAAGGAATAATCTTGATTATCTTCCCTTCTACCTCCTAAGTGCTGGTATTACAGGCATGTGCCAGTATGCATGGCTGACAATCTGATTTTTTTTTTTTTTTTTTTTTTTTTGGTTTTTCGAGACAGGGTTTCTCTGTGTAGCTTTGCGCCTTTCCTGGGACTCACTTGGTAGCCCAGGCTGGCCTCGAACTCACAGAGATCCGCCTGGCTCTGCTGGGATTAAAGGCGTGCGCCACCACCGCCCGGCCAATCTGATTTTTTTTAAAGTAAATTTACATAAAACAAGTCTAATACACAAATACTAAGCGTCAAATTGTAGAGACAAAGTATAGGTTGGATTATCCTTGACTTTCACTTTTGTCTCCCCCAATACCCCATGCTGTGTATTGAACCTAGGACATGCTAAATAAGTACACCATCCTGAACTATTTACCAGTCCTATATTTATGTTTTAAAAAATATTTCTTTTAGGAGTTGGAGAAATGGCTCAGCATTTAAGAGCCCTGGCTGCTCTTCTAGAGGACTTGGGTTCAATTCCCAGCACCCATGTGACAGCTCACAAATGTCTGTAACTCCAGTTCCAGGGGACTCAACCCCCTCACATAGGTATAACAACAATGCACAGAAAAAATCATTTTATTTTTAAATTGTTTTTATGCCTGTGTGTCTGTGTATGAGTATGTGCATATGAGTACCAGTGCTCTTGAATGACAACCTTGGGTCCCCTGGAGCTAGAGTTACAGACAATTTCAAGCTGCCTGACATGTGTGCTAGAAACCAAATGTTCCTCTGCAAGAGCAGTCTGCACTTTAAACAACTGAGCCATTTCTCTGGCTCCATGTGCATGCTTTCTCTAAATGGGTCAATACATATTGATATGTCTGAGAGTGAGCCACTTTACGTAGCTTAATTATTGACAGCAACACATTTTAATCTCAATAGTGTTCCAGTTTAGATCTCCAGTTAAACATCAACATGTTCCCATGGGAGATGCTTTGAAGAGCAGGTAGCTGAGGAATGGCAGAGATCTTTCTGTCCAGTAGAGTATGCCAGATGCCTGGCATAGGACTTGGCATGTTTATTTGCTCAAAAATAGGTCAAACAATAACAAAACCAAACTACCCAATCAGTAAAGTGGGTGAGGAAATGAGCAGGCAGTACTGAAAGGATGGAATATAAATGGCCAATAAACATGGTAAAATATCCAACCTCACTAGCCATCAGAGAAACGTAAATCAAAACTACATTGAGCCGGGCGGTGGTGGCGCACGCCTTTAATCCCAGCACTCGGGAGGCAGAGCCAGGCGGATCTCTGTGAGTTCAAGGCCAGCCTGGTCTCCAAAGCGAGTTCCAGGAAAGGCGCAAAGCTACACAGAGAAACCCTGTCTCGAAAAAAACCAAAAAAAAAAAAAAAAAACTACATTGAGAAGCTGGAGAGATGGCTCAGCTATTAAGAGCCTGTACTATTCTTTGACCCTAATTTGTTCCCACCACCCACATCAGGCAACTCAAAACCACTTGTAACTCCAGCTCTTAAATATTAAAACAAAACAAATCACAAATAAACCCTACATCTTACACCAATCAGAAAGGCAATCATTAAGAAAAACAAATAATTTGACCTGGTGTGGCAGTGTGTATGCCTTTAATTTTTCCACTTGAGAGGCAGAGGCAAGTGGGTCTCTGTGAGTTCAGCGTCAGCCAGGTCTATAAAGGGAGACCCTGTCTCAAAAGACAAAGACAAAAACCAAAACAAAACAAAAAAACAAATAACCTGATATACATAGTGAGTTCCAGACCAGCTAGGGCTAGGCAGTGGAACCTTGTTTCAAAAAACAAAAGACAAACAAACAACAACAACAACAACAAAAAACAACAGCAAAAAGCAAGCAAGTAAGTAATAATTAATCCTGGTGAAGGGAACCCATATACAGGGCTGGTAAGAATGCAAACTTGTCCAACCTGTATGGAAATCATCATGCAGATTTCTCAAAATACTAAAAATAGAGATCAAGAAATGGCTCTGAAATTGAAAGTGTTTGTTGTTCTTGTAGAGGACCCATGTTTGATTCACAGCACCCATGTTGGGCAGCTCTTTAACCTGGTAAGCCATCTCGCTAGACCCAAATGTGTTTTAACAATATGGAACAATGCTTTAGGTATGACCAAAAATGTCAAGAATTTATCAAAATCCTTGTGTTAGTATTTATGTTACCAATATGCTATCCTATATGGCAGCCACTGGCCAGTGGCTCATGTGTATTAAGTCTGTGTGGCACAGCTGGTACAAATTGAGAAGTGCCACAAGCAGGTAATACACACAAGATTTGAATGATTTAGAAGAAATTAAAGAACAGTATAAGCTGGAATAGTGGGTCTACCTGGTCACTGAAGCAGTCAGAATCAAGGCAGGCCTCAGCTACATACTGAGTTAGAGGCCAGCTTAAGCTACAGGAGACCCTATTTCAAAATGCAAAAACTCTTAAAATATTGATTGTATGTTGAAATAGTAATATTTGGATATAATGGATTCAATAAAAAAAGTGTGTGTGTGTGTGTGTGTGTGTGTGTGTGTGTGTGTGTGTGTGTGTGTGTGTTGCTAGGGAATCAGACTCATGGCCTCATACTCATGAGGAATACACTGTATCACTGAACCACATGTTCAACTCCAAGTAAGAAATATTTTTGTGGCACAGGCAAGATGGCTCCACAGGTGAAGGAGGTTGCTGCCAAGTCTGAAGATTCCTGAGACATACATGAAGGACCAGTTCTTGCAAGTTGTCCTTTGAACTCCATATAGGCATTATAGCAGAAGTTTGCCCACTGAACTCTATATAGGCATCATGGCAGAAGCTTGTCCACACACATATAAATAAATGAATAAAAATGTGAAAAAAAACCAAGTTTTTGTTTTTCTGAGACAGGGTCTTACTGTGTAGCCTAAGTTGGGCTCAAATTCATGGCGATTCTGATTCCCCTGCCTCAGCTTCCCAAGTGCTGAAATTACGAGTGTGAGTTAGGACATCAGGTTTAGAGATTTCTAAAATTAACTTCATCTCTTTTTGCTTTTCTCTCTTCCTTTTCTTTTCTGTAGCCCAGTGTCTTAGTTAAGGTTTCTATTGCTGTGAAGGAACACCATGACCAAAAAGCAAGTTCGGGGGGGTGGGGGGGGTAGGGTGGGGGGGGAAGGGTTTATTTGGCTTACACTTCCATATTGCTTTTCATTCTTAAAGGAAGTCAGGACAGGAACTCAAACAGGACAGGATCCTGGAGGCAGGAATTGATGCAGAGGCCATGGAGGGGTGCTGCTTACTAGCTTGCTTCCATTGACTTGTTCAGCCTGCTTTCTTATAGAACCTAGAACTATCAGCCCAGGGATGGCACCATCCACCATGGGCTGGACCCTCGTGCATTGATCGTTAATTGAGAAAATGCCTTACAGCTGGGTCTCATGGAGGCATTTCCTCAGCTGAGGCTCCTTTCTCTCTGATGACTCTAGCTTGTGTCAAGTTGGCACACATAAACAGCCAGTACACCCAGGTTACCTCAAAGTTCTAATCCTCATGCCTCCACCTCCCAAAGACTGGCATTAGAGGTTACCTACCACTATGCCCTATTTATACAGAGATGCTGGGGATGGAACCCAGGACCTGTGCATGTCAAGTATGACCAATTGAGCTACATCTTCAGCATCCTCCCCTTTCGTGACAGTTTTATTGTATTGCTTAGCCTGACTTAGAACTTGGCAATACTCCTGTCTCCACTTCCTGGGTGCTGGGGATTTGTGTGTATCCCATGTGGTGCTCTCAGAAAGTGGTCTTAATTTTCTCTATTACCTGCTTCCTTAATGATTGAACTACATAAGTTTTATGATTTTTAATTTTAAAAAATTAAAAAAACTGCATTATTGTGGGTATGACATTTGTGTTCTAGCCCACGTGCCATGACATGGTCAAAGGACAACTTTGTGGAGTCCATTCTGTCCTTCCACCTTTATTTAAGTTTGGGGGCTTCAACTCGGTCATTAGGCTTAGGCAGCAAGTGTCTTGACCCACTAAGCCATCTCCCCAGCTCTGATTTTTTTTTAAATATTTTTTTTTTAATGTGTGTGCCTGAGTGTGTGCATGTATATCACATATGTGCAGGATCCTGTGGAGATCAGAAGAGGCACTGAATCTCTAGAACTAGAGTTACAGACAGTTTTTAGCTGCCATGTGGGTGCTGGGAACCAAAGCCAAGTCTTCTGCAAGAAAAGTGTTCTTAATCACTGAGCCATCTCCTCGGCTCCGTTTTGAGATTTTGAAATAAAAACGACACCCACATCATGAAATACTAAAAGAATGAAGCTGAAATCACTTGCCAGAGGTGGAAGAAACAATAAACCAGTCCTGTCCTTAAGAGATCTGGCAATACAGTCTCCACCCAAGGAACATGTTTATGCCAGCTTTGAAACTATTCAATTTTAAAAATCAAATGAAACAACAGAGAACAAAGTGTTCTGAGGTTGTATTTACTCCAAGAATGCTGTGAGCTGTGCCTTGTAACCACAGTTGGCACCCATTCATCTACAGCACCCACAACAGCACCATGAGTGTACACAGGGCTCCTGAGAACCCTGTCTCCCAGCCAGTCAATATGACTGAGTCTGCCACTAAGGGCCCAGCTAGTTGGACCCAAGTGGTCCCTCTGCATCCTCAACTTCTCTGGCAGGCAAGAAGTGAGACTCAATGCCCCTCAAGCCCATGCTTCTTGGGTCTGGGTCATTTGTTTTTGGTTGCTCTGACTGTTACAGACAATGCCTACAGACCCCCAACACGGAAAAGGGGTCCTCCAGTCTCTCCAATCATGGGCGTCCTCTCTGTCCACGAGACTCCAGATAGCCCCACTTGGAGCTCTTGTCACCAGCAGGGAGTGGCCATATCTTAGGGCCACAACCAAAGTCACTGTCTTCTTAGGCCTGGGACCAGGCTCCAATGAGGAGGCTAGGAGGCTGCTGTAGCCTCCATGGGCTGGATCAGTAGGGTGGTAGCCTGAAGTGGGTAGTAGCGGCCCTTCCATGTTTTCCAGAAGATTCCCTTTTTACGCTGCTGCCGTTGCTGTGGGATGGAGTGGAAGTACTGTCCATTGAGATTGGAGTGGCTGCAGGTGCCAAACCACCAGCCACCTACAGGGTTAGAGAACAGAAGACGTGGTCAAGGTCTTGTGTTTTCATACTGAGAGAGGAGGACATAGTTGGAGACAAGATGAACTTTGGATTTTACACCTTTAGAATTTATTACATTTATTTATTCTGTGTGCATGTGAATATGTGTGTGGGTGTGCATGTGCCACAGTGGTGTAAAGGTCAGAGAACAACCTGTGGGAGTTGGTTCTATCCTTCTACTATGTAGGTCTTAGAGATCAAACTTAAGTCATCAGGTTTGGAGGCAAACACTGTGTGCCATCATACCTGGTTTATATGGTGTATAACTATCCATCGGAGATGGAACCTGGGCCTTCATTCATGTTCAATATGCTCTCTACCAAGTGGGCTACACTATGGAGCAGGGATTGCTGGCACAACATTGTAATCATAACATTCAGGAGGCTCAGGCAGGATGATAGGAAGTTTGAGCCCTGCCTGCTGTACATAGTTTGATTCTGTCCTTACAAATGAAACACAAGGAGGGCTAGTGTTGTAGCTCAGTTGTTACAGTGCTTGCCTGACATGCATGAAATAGTGGGACTGATCTCCAGCACCACAGGAAGGAGCATTCTGGCACATGCCTGCTACCCCAGCACTCGGGAGGTAGAGGCTGACCTTTTAAGGTCATCTTTGGCTATATAACAAGTTCAAAGCCAGCCAGAGCTATATGAGACCCTGTGTCAAACAGACAATTAAAACAAAAACACCAGCGGCTGGGGTGTAGCTCTGGAAGAATATTTGGCTAACATGCATAAGACTCTATACCTCAGATTTCAAAAAGAACAAGACAAAGGTTTGTCTTGGCTTTGCCTAACACTAGCTAGCCCCCTGCAAGTGTTCTCATTGAATTTTCAAAATAACCCTATAAAGTGGGCACTATGATTATGACTACTTTAAATACAGGAAAACTGAAAACAGGAGAGATTAATTCAATGACTGGACCAAGGGCACACAGCAGGCAAGGAGAAAAGGGGGCCAGGGCATGGATGTACTTTGGGTCTGAATGTAGGCTACAGTGGAAATAAAACCTGCTTACCAGAGAGGGTCTTGGCACAGTTGAGGTCCCCTCGGAGGTCATGGTCTTGGTCCCAGGTAGAGAAGGGTAAGGAAAGGCCATTGGGGGAGACGTTGGTGGCGCCCAGCTCACTAGCTGTGGGCTCTGTGAGCTGCAAGCTGTAAGCTGTATCCTCACCCCCCAGGTGGATGGGAAACTGGAGCAATTTGGCATTGCCATCCCAGTCCTGCAGCTGCACAGCCATCTGGCTGCCTCGGTCCCCTGTGATGCTGTGCATCTTCTCCAGGCCCAGCCAGAATTCACCTGCATCAAGAGAAGTTATCTCATAAGGAGGGTCCAGCTTTTCTGCCCCTTCCTCCTTCCTTACCTCTGGCTTCCTAAGAAACACTGACCTTGGGGATCTCCGAAGCCATCCTTGTAGGCTTCCCAGGGCTGATTGAAGTCCACAGAGCCGTTTAGGCGTCTCTGAACCACTGTCCAGCCTCCATCTGGCCAGGAAGACAAAAACGTCACCAGAAGTCCCTCCTCACAGGGAAACTGACAGTCCTACTTAGTTCCCAAGCCTGATGCCATGCTTCCATACAACCCCTGGAAAAGCAACACACTCATCACTTCTCTCTCAGAGGGTGGGATCAGGAGAGACTTCTGTCCCAAGAACTTGCAGGAACCAGCTGCAGCTGTATTTTGTTAATTTTTGAAATGGTCTCTATCTTAGACTGACCTAGATCATGCTTTTGTAGCCAAGGATGACCTATATACAGCCCAAGCTGTTCTTGAACTCACTATATAACCATGAATGACCTGAAAATCTGACTCTCCTGCTTCCACCTCCCGAGTGTTGGGATGGCAGACTTTCACTACCGCACCCAGTTTATGCAGTGTTGGAGATGGAACCCAGGGCTTCAAACATTCTAGGGAAGCACTTTACCAGTTGAGCTATAGTCCCAGCCCATGTTTATTAAATGGAGACAAGGCTGTCCTCGAACTTTCAACAATACTCCTGCCTCAACCTCCCAAGTATTGGAATTATAAATACAGGCACACATCACCATATCCAGCTGTGGTTCTGAGGAATGAATTTAGGGTCTTATACATCCTAGGCAAGCACTCTCCCATTGAGCTATGCCCCCAGCTCATTTATATTTCATGATTTTGTGACAGAGTTACACTTAGTCACTGGGCTAGTATTGAGCTCACTCTGTAGACCACTAGACCTGGATGGCTGCAGGTCTTAACCACAGAAAACCCATCACTGAGCCTGAGATGCATGTCAATAGGGAAAAAGTCTACATTTTAGGGTGGAAATATATATATATATATATATGTGTGTGTGTGTGTGTGTGTGTATGTATATATGTATATGTATATCTCCTAAAATATAGACTAGAGGCTACATCCTATAGGCTGCATATAGGGTGTGTGTGTGTGTGTGTGTGTGTGTGTGTGTGTGTGTGTGTGCTGTGGAAGGGCCTTTTCCAGGCTAGGCAAGTACTTTATCATTGAGTTACACATGGCTGGATGTTATGACACAAAGGCTGTGCATGGCAAATAGGCTCCTTGATGGGCCAGCACATCCTACCTGAAGTCATCTCACAATTGACCAAAAACGGCAGGGATCCCTGAGGCTGGATCTGGAAAAGTCCACTATGCCGCTCCCCTTCTTGGAAGAGTTCCTGGCAGTCCCGGGGAGGTCCTGAAAGTAGACAAAGGGAGAGACTGAAGCAGGAGAGAAGCCCCCAGAGATTTCAGGAGACAGATATGCATGAGGGCTGGGTGGTAGGGGATGAGCCCCAGGGCCATCTGCCTAAACTTGTTCCTGGCTCCTTGTTGCATTCTCCAGTGTAGTCTATAAGGAATACTGAGGACCAGCCATTTGGCCAATCCTCCCTCTTCCCACACTGCTTGTCCATCCTCTCTGGTCATAAAGCCTTTCTTCCTTGTATCAAACTTTCCTCCCACAGGGATTTGGCACATGGTCCTGATGCCAGGGATTCCCTTTTCCCATTCCTTTCTCTGGACCTGAGCTTCTAAAAGGATGCCTTTTCACTCTCTGAAACCCACTTAGACTCCCCAGAGTGAACACAGAAGTCTTCCCACAGGGGAGAATTCATCTGGTGGAGTGTCATTACTCTTCACATTGAGTGGGGGCTTCTCAAGGCCAGGGACATGGAGGAGCTCTGTCCACAATAGGAACCTGAATGCATCTAAAGCCTTGTCCACTGCTGGTGTTTCAATAAAGACTTAAAACAGTTGATGGGATGTATCTGGGGTAAGGCAAGAGAAGAGCTGACTGAGCGAAAGGGTACTCTGGTTTAGTTAGTAGGGGATGCTGACAGTGCCTAAATGGGACAGGGGGAGACTGAGGCTGGGGGTTGGGGTGGGATATGGCTGTCTCTGCTACCAGAAGAAGGGGGACAGAATGAAGAGAGAAGGAAAATAGAGGAGGAGAGAAGGAACTTGGCCTTCACAAGGCCTCTAAACTCAGGAAGAACAACCCCCAGGCCAGCCAGGAAAAGTAGGAGAAAGGTCACTGGGGGGAAGGGCATGCAGGAACTTTCTGCCAGCCAGCCCAGTTCACACTGCTAGGAGTGGGGGCAGGCTCAGAAAGATGGAAAGGACACTTTCCAATCCCTTGGGCAGCTCCCTTTCCCCTACTTTCCTCTCATCCAATCAGGACAGGCACACTGCCAAGCCACGCATGTGGTCTCCATTAGGACCAGCTGTTTGTCTCTCCCGGCTCTGAACTTTCCCCTACTTGGCTAGGCTGAGTCTAGGAGTCCCAAACCCACAAAACCACTCCTTCTGCCCTTCTCTTCTGCCACATCACCTAGCCAGAACCTGTGTCTGTCGATCCCGGAAAGCTCCCCCATGACCCTCACCATGCCCAAGTACATACCTGGGTAAAAGCCAGGGAAGGAAACAAGTCTAAAGGCTAGAAGCCAGCAACTACCCCTAGGGTGTGAAGGGGGATATCCAAACTTTCACCCAGTTGGCTGTGGACAGCCACAGATGTCAAGCAGGGTGAGAGAATGGCTGAGAACTCAGGGTTGGACCTGGGAACCTCTCGCTGTCTCTGTCACACATGTGCGCGCTCCCCCCGCCCCCCCCCCCCACTGCAATTTGAAACTAAGTATTGGACATGCACAATATAGGACCTAGAAATTGTGATTGCAAAAACTGTGGGGTCTGTGTATACATGATTGGATGGGGGCTTTGAGGACAGAAGAGGCACAAAGGATTTGTAAGATGTAAGAATATGTGTCGCTTCTGGGAGCTGGAGTAGGAGGTGTCCTTACCCTGCTGCTCCCTTTTATATCTATGCCAAGAGACCTTGGCAGGTTCCAAACCTCGAAACACAACACAACACACACACACACACACACACACACACACACACACACACACACACACACCTGGGCCCCTCAGGATGACATACCTGAGCTACATCACTATCTCCCAGCACCCCTGAAACTTCAGCTCCTTATTGTCTGTCTCCCTTTGTTCTGGTTAGTGGCTAATAAGATTTTGGGGAGAGTCTTGCTGGGGAAGAAGGGTGGGGTGGCCTGGCCAACCAAGATCAGAAGTGGGGAGGGTGGTACATCTAAAAGCCCTTGACTACAGCCTAACGAGCCCACAGGCACCCAAGTTCAAAGTTTCTTTCTTATTAAGATGGACTTGGCAAGAGGGGTAAGGATGGGAATGGCAGGTGGAGGGGTTGGGAGTTGCCGGATGACATCCAACACCAGAGACACTCACTGTGCAAGTGGGTGGCATTGGGAGTCAGGCCGATGAGGTTGACCATCTTGGGAAGCCTCTTTCCCCTTGAAGTCTTGGCCACTGCGTTGTCTAGGTGTGTGGGGGCCAGGAGGCCAATCTGAGACAGGATAAGAAAAGGGTGGTCGGGTCTCTTGGCTCATGCTAAAGCAGCTGTTAGTCACATTCCACCACTGGTCCCTCGTTTTGTCTCTTTCCGACTTGGGCCAAGCCCTGGGGTGAGTACCTGGCTCTGAAGGTTTTGTATTCTCAGATTCTGCTTGGCTAGGTGTTTCTGCTGCTGGGCCACCTTCTGGAACAGTTGCTGGATCTTGCTGTTCTGAGCCTTGAGCTGTGTCTGGAGACATGTAAGTCGGTGAAGACCTGGCTTTATGTCTGCAACCTCCCCTTACTCTCCCTTCCATCTTTTCACACGTTGGTTCTTTCAGGCCCCTCCCCGCCCGATTCCTGTGCACGCGAATGCGCTGTTTGTAGGGGAGACCCAAAAGGAATCTAAGGAGCCAGCCCCCTCCCTAGTGGGTGCGCCTACCTGCAAACTCTGCAGAGTCTCAGGAGCCGCCTCGCTGTCAGGGACTCTGCTCTCAGGGTCTTTGGAAAGTGCGTCTTTCCCCTGGGGTCCCTGACAAGCATTACCGCACGCAGCCATGCGGCGTTCCAGTGCTCCTAGCTGCCCACGGGTGCGCTCCACGTGTTCGCGCAACCCGTGGCCGAGCTGCAGCAGCCCGTGAGCCAGCAAGTTCATCTCGTCCCAGGACGCGAAGCGCGGCGGCTCGGGCTGTGCAGGGCGGCCCTGCACGCTCAGCAGCCCCGCAGTAGCTGCGCAGAGCACCAAGGCTGCACTTACAGTCGGAGCGCTGCGCATGATTCTCGGGGAGGGGGTGGCCTTGGGTTCGGCGACACTAGGACTCCGGAAGACAGGGGTTCGAGACCCAGTAGCTGGAGTTCTGGGGAAGCCGACTTAGGCTTAGACTTGCTCCGTTGCAGAAGTTCTGGAGCTCCCTGTCGATCAGCTTTTCCCGGTTGCACCCAACGCCCCATTTTATAAAGCTGTGTGGGAGTGGGAGGGAGAGCCTCGGAGGCGGGGCCCGGGGAGTGCCGAGGGCGGGGCAAGCGGACAAGTGTTGGGGTGCTGGGAGCCATAGGCCTGGTAGTTACGAGGTGTGTGCGTGTCGGGGTGAAGAATCCTTGGGGATGCCTGCTTGACCTTCCCCCTCGACCCCGTGAGCGACGTGACTGTCCCTGAACTGCATGGTTCACTCTTAAGTCCGGAAATTCCAAGCCCTAGCCCCGCATCCCGCTCCCCGCCTGTTTCAATGGATGAAAGGGTATATAAGTCAATCAGGACGTAGATGCCTTCTTGACTGACCCCTTCCCAAGTCAGAAGCGGAGTAGGGCAGAGTTATGTAGCAGAAAGGTTTCTCCCTGGTCGGGTGAATTCAGATGGCAAGTGGGGGGAGTTACCGAACCTTGCCCCCGCCGCTTGGAGGCTTCCTGAGATCTACAATCTCCAGACGAGGCTGGAACCCCTGCCCCCGACTCTCTCTTCCACCAGAGACCTCTCTGTGCTCCAACTCTCTTACCGGCTGGCTCAAGGATTCGTCGTTGCAGACGTCTTTGTGAGGGTCACTAACGCCCTTGTTCAATTAGTTGTCTCTTCCTGGCCAAATTGTCAGTGCTGTTATTGCTGGGATTTCTACCTACATCGTACAGATTACAACTCTAGGCCTTCTGCAGTTGCCTGCCCTCCACCAACAGGGGTCCTGGAATTTACTGCATTAAAGCAGGAACCGTGCCTGAGGCGAGGCCTGTCATCCCAGCTCTGGGACATGGAGCAGAAGGGTGTGCAATTCATCTTAAACTACACATTGAGTTTGAAGTCAGTCTGGGCTACTCTGAACCAGGTCTCCAAACAACAACAGTATCAACAAAATCTGTGGCACTCATCTGTAATCCCAGCACTCAGGAGACAGAGTCAGAAAAATAGTGTAAGCTAGGAGCTAGCCTGTTTAGTAAGTTCCAGACTAGTCAAGGTTGAAACAGCAAGATCTTGTTTCTAAAAACAAAACAAACTGGGCGGTGGTGGTGGTGGCGGCGGCGGCGGCGGCGGCTGCTGCGGCAGGGGCACACGCCTTTAATCCCAGTACTCAGGAGGCAGAGGACAGGCACCAAAACTACACAGAGAAACCCTGTCTCAAAAAACCAAAACAAAACAAAAAACAGTTCACAGTGGTGTATACTTTTAATCCCAGCACCCCAGAAGCAGAAGCAGTTGGAGGGAGCTCTGTGAGTTTGAAGCCAGCTTGGTCTACACAGTGAAGTACCAGGCCAGCAAGGAGGACCTTGTCACAGAACAACAACAACAACATTAAAAAAAAAAAAAAAACCCAAAAAGCAAAGAGGAGCCAGAGAGCTGCCTTAGCAATTAAGACCACGTCTGGCTCTTGCAGAGGACCCAAGTCCGACAGCTTACAACCACCTGTTGTGACATCCAGGTGACATGATGACTCTGACCTCGTTGAGCACTTACACACACACAATTTAAAAAATTGTCACACACACACAAAAATTAAAAGGCAAGTAACCTAGGGAGTATCAAGGAAAGACTTCCCTTCCACACTCATCCATTCATTCACTCATTCCACAGCCTAGGCCCTGCACTGAGTTCCTTAGTTTGTGGATAAACCCTAGCACTGAGCAGGGGAGAGGGGGGCAAGGTTGAGACAAAGGAGGACCTGGGTGAGGCTGATACCTTTCCCTGCTGCATGGCTAAGTTTTCATTCAACAAGTTTGTATGGGCGGCTCCTTCCCTGCTAGTTCTCCTCTAGCCTGCTAGGAAGAGGAACCTGGCACAGAAAACCTGCCTGCCAGGAAGACCCTTAGGGCAGACTGACTGAAAAACCCCCAAGTTGAGTCAGCAGGGCTGGGAGCCAGCAGCAAACCTCTGGAATCTGAAACTGCATGCCCCAAGGCTGACGTGCAGGCCACTGCTTGTACACCACTGCTTGTACACTTGACCAGCTGGGCCATTTGCCAGGGTGACTGATCACAGCAGCAGTGGCAGGCAGACAGAAAGAGCAGGCAGAAAAACCTCAGCAAGGAATGAATTCACACGTCCACCATCTGCCCACCTCAGGCATCCTCTGTAATAGCAGGACATAGCTATTCCATGCCAGCCCATAAAGAGAAAAATCACCAACCTGGGTGTGGTGGTGCATGTCTGTCAGCACGTAGAGGACAGTAGCAAGAGGGTCAGGATTTCAGGTCCACCTAAACTACATGAGGAGAATCTGTCTCAAGAAACAAAACTGGGGCTGGTCATATGACTCAGTGGGTAAAGATGCTTGCTTCTAAGTCTGATGACCTGAGTTCAGTCCCTGGAACCCACATACTGGAAGGAGAGAAAGGACTCCCAAAAGTTATCTATCCTCTGGCTGGGTGCACACCTTTAATCCCAGCCCTCTGGAGGCAGGGGCAGGCAGATCTCTGTGAGTTCAAGGCCAGCCTTGTCTACAGAGCTAGCCAGGACAGCTAGAGCTGTTACACAGAGAAACCCTGTCTTGAAAAACTAAAAAAAAAGAAAGAAAGAAAATAATTATCCTCTGACCTCACCAAGTTTTCTGCGGCACGTGCATACACAATATAAGTAAAAGAATGGAGAAAGAGAGAGGGAGAGAGAAAGAGAGAGGAGGGGGGAGGGGGAGAAACAGGGATTGGATAGATGGCTTAGAGGTTAAGAGTATGTACTGCCCTAGCAGAGGATGAGTTTGCTTCCTAGCACACACACTGGGCTCATAGCTGTCTGAGACTTCAGTTTCAGAAGACCCCATGCTATCTTCTGACCTCCTCAGGCACCTACACACATGTGCGCATAACCAAACACAGACACACACATAACACATAATTAAAAATAAAATAAAATCTTGGGGGCTAGAGAGATAGCTGAGCAACTTAGAACAGAATTTGCCGTTCTTGTAGATAGAAGACTTGGATTTGGGTCCCAGCAACCCCATGATGACTCACATCCATGTGCAACTCCAGTTCCAGGGGATCCAGTGCTCTCTTCTTGGAACTCCAGGGACACCAAGCACACACATAGAACACATACATACATGCAAACAAAAATATTAATACATATAAAACAAAATAAATCTTAAAACTTTAAAAATAAAATATTTTTAAAAAATCAAGGAAATGGTGGGCTGGAGAGATGGCTCAGCAGTTAGAGCACTGGCTGCTCTTCCAAAGGTCCTGAGTTCAATTCCCAGCAACCACGTGGTGGCTCACAACCATCTGTAATGAGATCTGGTGCCCTCTTCTGATCTGCAGTCATATATGCAGACAGAACACTGTGTACATAATAAATAAATGTTTAAAAAAAAAATCAAGGAAACAAGCAACTACTTTGTTAACCTGACAGTCTTTTTGTGTGGTGTGTGTGTGTTCAAGTTAACATATGTAAGGGCATGCATATGTGCAGGTGAGCATGCCTTTGCGTGTACATGTGTATGGAAGAGTGAAACTGATGGTGTTTTTCTTCATTGCTCTCTATTTATTAAGGCATGATTTCTTCTTGAACCTGAAGCTCACCAGCTTGCCCTAGGGATTTCCCAATATTGTGTTGAGATTACCATGTCTGCCCAGCTTTTATGTAGGTTCTGGGAATCAATTTATTCCTTGCACTTGTGGGACAAGTACTTTATCCACTGAGCCATCTCTCAAGCCTCTGATCCTATAGTCTTTTCTCCATGTACTTTTCACGGACTTCTTCAGTACCATGCTTCAGAGAGTACAGCACTCTGAAGACTCTTGGAGGCACCTGATGGGTACAACCATTACAAAAGACTCCCGTCCTCTTGGGACCTGAAGCTGGCTCTGGCTTTTATCCTGAAAACTTCTTTCTGGAATGTTCCTTCTTACCAAGCCATTGCAGTCACTCTGTAAGCACCTATTATGTGCTGGCAGTGTGCTAGGGCCATATCATTGTGCGTGTCCTGGTCTTCAAACACTCCCAGCTTTGTTTCTGGGCTCTAAGCTGAGTATACAGCTCATGTTAGTGCCCTTACCTAAATTGTGTGAGGCCTAGCACTTAAAAAAAATGTGGCATCTATAGTTGGACTGGGGACATAGCTTAGTGGTAGAGCACTTGCCTAGCATGCATGAGACCCTAAGTTTACCTATAGTACTTCAACCAATCAACCAATAGCTGTAGAAAGGTGGCACAGACCATTTGTGATGATTAGTATTAGTTGTCAGCTTGACAAAAGTTAGAATTATCTGTGAAGTGATGGGAGTAGTTATCTTGATTATGTTAAGGTAGGAAGACCCACCTACTGTGGGTGGCACATCCCCTACACAGGGAATCCTGGACTGTGTAAGAGTGGAGAATGAGGCTGGAGAGGTGGCTCAACAGGTAAGAACACTTGTTGCTCCTGTAGAGGGACAGGGTTCAGTTCCTAGCACCTACATGGCAGCTCCCAATCCTCTTTAACTCCAATTATAGGGGATTTGACACCCTTTTCTGATTTCCTTAGGCACCAGGCATGCACATGATACATATACATACACACATAAATACTCGTACATTAATAAAATAAATCTAAAAAAATAGAAGAGTGGAGAAAATAGGATCATCACTAGCATGCTTCATCCCTTGCTCTCTGCTTCTTTGCTTCTTTGATGAGGACAGTGTATGACTAGCTGCCTGATGTTGTGACTTCCCCCAAGAAGATGGACTTCAACCTTAAACTTGAGCTGAAATAAATCCTTTCCCCCTTAAGTTTCTTTCATCATAAAAACAAAAACAAAAACAAAAAACTAAGACATTGTAAGCCCAGAATTTAGGAGATTTAGGCAAGAGGATCGAAAATTCAAGGCTGGCCTAGGTTACATAGTTAGGTATAAGGCCAACTTATATTTGGTTGACATATGGGAGCCTGTTTTAAAAAGAAAAACCAGGGGCTGAGGAGATGAATCAGTAGGTAAAGCACTTGCTACACAAGTATAAGGATCAAAGTTTGGAACCCCAG